AGGCAGAGAACGACAAAATTCGAAGAGAGCGGCAAGCACAGTGCGCACGACCTGGCCTTTTACATCCCACACCGCTGATGTAGGCGGTTGACAGAATACTCGAGCGCTTGAAGCGCGACGGTTGGGGTGAAGACCTCAGCCATTTCCATAATGCGGAACGCACTCGACTGAAAGCCCTAGAACACGTGAACGTGGTCCGAGAATTGACAGAGCAGGGTTTGCACACTACTTCGTCCTATGAAATGCCTCTGGTTCTCATGGCCGTTGGCATCCACAGAATGGCTGAATATCCGCCGGAGCGTCACCGCCCTTATGGAAACGCTGAGATTCTCCGTCTTTGGTACGGCGTGGGATAACCAGCTCCTTAAAAGGCTTCAACTGGCGTATTCCGTTATAGCCAGCTGCCAAACTCAGGACCCACGCGAACCCCGCACAGCCGCCTCTGACAAGCAGGCCGAAATCACAGACCTCCTGCTCGCGCCCACCCTACGCCAACTGATACACGCCCCAGTGAACACAAAGCTTACGGCGGATGCCTTCCAGCCCCTCCTGGCGTCTTTGCCCGCTCTACAAGAAGAATGGCACCAGGAATGCGCGCGCGTACTTGGGAACCTCGTCCAAGCGAACTTCGGGCCCCAACCTACCCGCGCCGCGGACGGCGTCGATCTGCTCACCCTGGCGGTGGCGTCGTTTGACTGCAACCAGTGCAAACGCACGGACTTGCGATGGCCCAACATACTTGCGCACCGCTGTGCGCGGTCCCGGCGTGTTATGTTGGGCGAGTCGAATCAGCGATACCTGGACGCGGTTCTTGCGCTCAGGTGCCGGCGGCGCGGACTGACGCCGCGCCCGTGGGAGCAGACGTTCAGGGTAAGCGAACAGGATTTTGCACGGGAGTGCGCGGTCATTCGCGCTTGCGGGCTGGATCCGCAGACGGCGACGCTCGAATGCATGGAGCGATGCGGTATGCGTTTGTTCTGTCAGGTATGCTCTGTTCCCGCGGTGGGATACCGGGAGGCGTATGACTGGAAGGCGGCGGTGGGTCGAGCGTACCGTTTCGTGTGGACCGCACACTGAGCAACGTTTCTTTAGGCCAAGCACGAGCGTCCCCGGTGCGACTGGCTCTTCGGCTCGTATCGGGCGGTGAAGAACAAGTGGCAGGTGCTCGACGCTGAGCACACTGCCACGGTGCTGAAGCTCGAGTCCGACTTGCAAGAGAAGACACGCCGTAGTCTCAAATGCGTGCCAAATGCATTCGGTTGCGTGCACTGTCGCTACCACAGTGACGATGCATCAGCGGCTCGGAATCACTGCGGCGAGTGAGTCTCGTTCAACGGTTACAGGCGCTGTTGGTACTCACGTCCCTTGGCTCCATTGTGCAGTGCGCATAAGATTGACAACCCCAAGATCGACCTGGATTATTACGTGCCCCTGGATTCTACTCATGCTGCCGGTGAGGCATCGAGTGTTGGGCCTATACTCATCTACCCTGAGTATTCCCGCACGGATCGTGTTACCGTGAAGGATGTTAAAGAGGGCCGCGCGTTCTTCTCCCCATCCCTCTTCGACTCGTAGTCTTGCATTGCTGGTACGATAGGGACCACAGGCAGTCTCTACTTTCTTTTTTCTTCTCGGCACATCCTCGCCCAATGGCAGATGCAGCCGGCATCGACGTACTCACATGAGTACTACCCC